AGTTGCGGCGAAACCCAAACCCAAGAAGATAAAAGCGACGAAGGGACGATGAACCTGAACCAGCGGACGTACCCGCGCAATTCCAGAACTCTTCCGGGAAGGCCGTGCCTGTTCCACAGAGCCCAAACGAGCCGATATATGAGGAGTCCAAGCGAACCCAGTTTGACTTGTCGGGTGCGCATGTGCTTGGCCACGAATGACGGTTGAATTCCTCGTAGCCGATGTGCTTGCAGCGGTGGCCGGTGACTGAAACGTTGAGGAATGACTAAGTATTTTTTGGGGGGACTAAACATGTTGTGCGTGCTCGACGCAGCGATGACGTCTTCATACGTTTTCCGCGACCCCCCGCCGGGGGAGCCCGACGACATGCAAACTTGTTCGTGTTTGCTTCCCGCTCTATCTACTAAAGTATTTACATTGGTCAGCAGATTGTCAACGAAACACAAAACTCGGCAGGGTAGCGCGGTCGATGCGACAAACAAAGAAGACACAACACACACGCTCACACAGGGAACCAGATTATGACCAACGAAACGTTTTCCATTATAGCCACACCCTGTGAACGGCGTCTTCTAACTTGAGCTTCCCATTAATACACGCACATGCTTCCACGTTTCCCCGGTAACTGGTTGGCGTCTGTTCATTGATTGGTAAGCCGATTCCCGCGGTCGATACTACTCCGGAGACCGATTGATTGGTGCCACCTCTATCACCAAGATGCAGACGACGACGCTGCTCACGACTTACGGTAGTGCACCCGTCGGACGCAGTGGCTGCACTCGATGTCCGGGAGGAGGTAGCGCATCTTGATGCTGTACGGGTCATACCCGTCGCCGCTCGGCATGTTACCCTTGTTGAAGTTCTGGTCCGTATCGTTCAAGCGGCACGGCGGGTCCACGTAGTACCGCCCGGAGTAGTCAGGGTCTATCGGGCTGGCATCGCCATCGTCAAGCGCGCGAGTCAAGGGGTGCATGTTGAGGCACTCCTGGGTCAACACGCCATCGGGGTCATCGAAAT